CTACAGAGTTTTGTGACTGTGGGCTCCAAACCATTCCCAATGGATGGCCTTATGGGGAAATATGCCAGGAACCCAAAGCTCACGTGGGAACAAAACGTACAACTGGAAGGCATTTCTTGTAAATCCAGTCCATACATGAAATGTGCAGAGAGTAGAGGATACTGCAACCATCCTCAACGTACTCTGGAAGGACTAAAATGTAGAGACAATGCATCCTAGTGAATAAAGTTTCTTTATAATCCCAATGGATTTCCAATCAACAGGCTGTTAATGAGTTAAAGAAACAGATAGCTGTGCATGTCACTGTGCTCTGCAGTTTATCTGTCCTTTGACTGTTTCTCTCAGGATTTGCCAGCCCATACTTGTAAACTGGCTTGTCTCCTGCATGAATTAACAAAATTAACAAGGAAGAAATGAGCCAAGACTGAGTTAATTAGCTCATCATTTTCCACTTAAGTCACCTGTGGCAATTATATTATGTGCAGCCAGCAGAGAGTGGTGTGATTGATACCAAGAAGAAAGTCTGTATCCTGGAGACAGCATGTATAATCCAGATGTTGCGGTCTCTCATACTGAAGTAAACAAGCACACAAAACCCTTCTGTAGATGACCCCAAACCAAATTGGAACTGGAGCATACTCTGGTCAGCACAGAAACTGACTCCAGTCAGGAAGGGGGGGTTGGGATATATTTTCCCAACTGAAGCGGATCCTCAGTTTTCCCTAAAGACCAGCTTTCCCAACTGAAGCGGATCCTCAGATTTCCCTAAAGACCAGCCCCTTCTCTTTCTAGTGATGATTTTAATCTTTGTGTTGTCTGCTTTCTGTCCTTTGATTAAGATGCTTTACTATTAGAAACCAGGTAGATGAGCACTCCCCATCTGCACCACCTATCTTAGGTACTCATGCATATTACTGCAGTAATAAGGCCACAGTCTTTAATGTAGTTGGCCTAACACCGCCCTGCAAGGTGCTCGCTCATATGCTCACTTTACCGTTCGGGAACTGACACGCAGTCACATGTTATACTGCAGAGTAGGGAACTGAACCCTGGTCTCTCACACCCAAGTTAGGTCAGACTTCAGTCTCAATCCCAAAGTAACAAATGGTGTTTCGTTTACTAGTTTTACTAACACTTTAAATATTGATTTTAAACCGGAGGGTTTATTTTTTTCAAAGATATTGAAAGCATCCTTTACTGGACAGTTTTGTGTTCAAAACCACATGACCTGAGCACCAGCAGCAAAGGCCACCACCATTGCCTTCATTCTTCTCCTGCCCTGCCCCTCTCAAACATTTGGGACTCCCACTGAAGTCAGTGGAAGACTCACAGGCCCATGGATCCTGGTCCTGCAATAGCTGGTCTGGCCCAATGAATTGCAGTGCCCCGGGCTGACAACACATCACCCCACGGACTGGCTGAAAGCAGACTGGTGCTCACAAACCTAGATGGCTTTGCTTAATAATGAGATCTTTGTTAGGGGGCTTATTTTTTAAATGAGGAAAACAGTTATAATAAAGGAAGGGGAACTGAAGATATTCCAGATTTCCAAAGCAGCTCACATGGCAATCAGTGTAGGCGGGAATTTCAGTTATCACCAAGAATCGAAACATTTCTTTGCACCCCTGATATTTATTTTTTGTGCAAAATTAATTTTCTTCTACGTGGCAGTTATGGGCGATTTTACACTGCATGGAAATAGCAGGATGATGAGCAACCAGCCAGCTCAGTTCTGTTGCCCATCTGGACA